GCTAAAAGGGCCTTAGAAGTCACATTTGTTGTTTTAGCAAATTTCTGTTGGGTGGACTTCAAACCACTAAGCTTTCTAACAAAAAAATATTTTGGTTTATTTGTAAACTTCGGATGCTTGGTTTCAAGATGTCTCCTTAATTTATTAGGTTTCATACTATCTGCAGCTAAAATACTTAGATTACACACTGCGGACGTTCTTCATCATTGATCAGTTTTCGTAAAGCCTAGTGATAAATAGTTCTCATCATGCCTCTCGTTTTCACACTCCGAGTAGCTTCTTTCCCACCATTAGTTGAAGGAGCACTGGTGTCTTCATTTCTATCACAAATCAGGAAACGCTTCATGATCAATTGTTCATAATCAAGTCAACTTCAAGAGGTAAACAAATCAGCACAACTGCACTGAAACGTTGAATGCATACGAACACAAATCAAACAGGCATACCTGTCAATCGCCATTGGGTCTGGCGACAAACTGCCTGCTCCCTGACCAACAGGCGCCAATGAAATGACATAAGTCACTGCTTTCAGCTGTGCGTGTACAGTGCTGCTTGGAAGATGATGCGGTTGCTGCCCAACTATCAATGCTGTCTCTGGCATACACGTCTTGTAATTTCCAGTAAAGAGAATAATTATTAGTTATTTTGAAATTCATGATAATTAAAGCCTGTACTCATCAAAAGTTTCTCTATATGTATTTTCATTTTTTGTTACTTTTCTAATTGATTTAGGTTAGTTTTAATTTTTATCTGTAGGAAAGTATGCTGCGCCCCCCTTTCAAGCCCTTCACGCCCCCCTGGGGGTCGCACCCAACAGCTTGAGAACCACTGATCTAATAGATATTCTGGAGAACCTAATCCAGAAAGACCAATATATCATTTTAGTAGGAGACTTAAACATAAACATCCAAGAAGGTGGAAGTAGTCACAAAAAATTTTTAGATGTTACAAAAGCTTATATCTGACTATGACAATAAATACACCTACAGGACTAACTGAAAGTATGGCTACAACTATAGACCAAATCATAACTAATATACCGGCTAAATTCTATATGGGATTTGTCAATACTCCAAAAGACAACCACTTCGGAAAGTTTGTGGGCCCTGAAAAGGGCTGTTTGTTCCTTGATAGTAGGCCTGTCTGAAAGACCAGTGATGTAGGGCTGTGTGAATCGGTAGAAATAGATGTTGGCTACGGCGTGTTGGCTAATGTTGTGGCAGCTGAGTCAGCTGTCTGGCCGCAGTGTGGCAGTTGTCGGAAGTTGCCTGGTCGCAGTGTGGCAGTTGCCGGAAGTTGCCTAGTCGCAGAGCGTGGTTGCTGGAAGACGTCTGGTCGCAGAGCACGGTCGCTGGAGTGGCGGCAGCTGCGCCAGTTGCCCAGTGAGTCGGGCATGACCGCCGGAGAGCCGAGGCAGCTGTCCCTGGTGCAGTGAAGTGCCGATGACTCCAAAGACCGATCGCTCTGGGCTAGGTGTGATGGCTGACTGGCTGATGTGGTCACTGATGATTGCGAGCTTTGGGCTCTGCCTTTTATACCATGCTTGATGGAGGAGTGAAACTTGCAGTTGCAATTGTGAGCACTGATTGGCTAGCACAAGTAATGATCTGAATGTGGGCTAGACAGCGAGTGCTGTATAAATACAAGCGTTGGAAGCAATGTGATTGGTTAGCGCACATGATAGTGAAAAGTGAGCTGGATAGCAAGCGCTGTATAAATATGAGAGCTGACAGCAATGTGCTATTGACTTAGGAGTGAGTGTTGTCCGTTCATTGGCGAAACAGTGCGAAAGTATTTGGGATGTTCCCACAACTATCATACTGAAGTAATAAACAGCCTACTTTCAGATCATTTTGCACAATGTATAACTATTAATATGTCTGTACCATAACAAACAAGATGTTACGAAGAGGTCAGGAATATATCAGAAACCAATATAATAGGTCTATTCTCTTCATTACAAACTGAAACTTGGACTGAAGTGTCCAGGGAAAATGAGGTAGAAAAAAATGGGACTCTTTTTATAGCATTTTAACTATTATTTTAATATAGCCGTCCCAAACTGAGGAGAAATACCATAAGTACTTCAAAAAGCCCCTGGATAAAAAAGACGCTATAATAGCAAGAAAAAACTAAAGGATTTGTACAACCTTTATATGCAAAGTAAGACTCGGGAATATAGAGACATCTATAAAGCATATAAAAAGGAATATAATGTAATATTAAAAAATGCAAAAGCAAACTACATTCAGAATATTATAACCAGATCAAATAACACTCCAAAAATATTGTGGGAATTTGTTAATAGAGAAAGAGGTTCACCAAATAATACTCTCTCTAGTAATATACACTTACAAGATGGAAATGAAATAGTCTCAAGTCCAAGTAGAACATGTAACATATTTAACAAAACCTTCATAGAAACTGTAAATAAACTTATACTTGACAAAAATTTATTACATCCACAAACTAGTAATAACAATATAAGCATAAAAGATTCACTTGTCCTATTAGAAATAACAGAGACTGAATTGATTGAAGTAATTCAGGGCATGAAGAATAAAAAATCAGCAGGACTTGATGACATCTCGCCATATCTGCTAAAAAAAGTACACCTTACATAATAAAGCCACTCTTAGAAGTGGTCAATGCTTCAATCAGAGAAAGCATCTTCCTGATTGACCGTGTCTCACGGTGTTGTCGCTTGCAGACTTACTTATACTTCTTCAACCCTGAAGATGGGGGCGATACGTTCCTCCGAAACGTCGGTTAACACCACATATACACGGTGCCAAATCCCAGAAGACTGCTTTCTTTAAAAAAAATCAGTAGTCAAACCAATCTACAAAAACGGGATAAAAGAAGATGCAAATAACTATCGTCCAATTACTCTTGTACCTGCCCTTTCAAAAGTTCTGGAAACAGTAATAGCTATCCAATTAATAGCATTTTTAGAAAAACACAATATACTTAATAAATCTGTTTGGGTTTAGGAAAAAATAAATCTACCAACAATGCAACTGCCACAATTATTGAAAACATAATAGAAAGTTTGAATGATAAAATAAAATGCAACTGTGTACTATTAGACTTATCAAAAGCCTTTGACTGTATTCAACATAACATTCTCATGGATAAATTATACAAATATGGACTTCATGGTATACCTCATAAGCTAATCAAATCCTATCTCAGAAACAGAACTCAACATGTAAAAGTAACACACACAGAAGGCAATCGCATGAAAGAATATTTGTCAAGTAGCCTCCCAGTGAGACCCCCAAGGATCGGGCCTTGGCCCAACACTCTTCATCTTTTATATAAACGATATCCCACATCTAACACAAGGCACATCAATAATGTTTGCTGATGACACATCAATACTGAATGTAGGACAAGATATGAATGAGCTCCAAAACACAACTTCAAATAATATAAGAGTGGTAGAGCAATACTTTGAGACAAATAATTCATTTATAAATCCATCCAAAACTCACTATATTCTCTTCCAGAGAAAACAATGCAAGCAGGAAAGTAATCTAAAAATCCTAATAAAGAACAGGGAAATATCAAATGTAAAAGGCACAAATTTCCTGGGGGTAGAAACAGATAGTACCTTGAGCTGAGAATTACATATTGAAAGAGCCTGCAGTAGAATTAGCCATAACCTGTTCATAATTAACAGGCTATCTAAAATACTCGATTTAAATGAAAGAAGAATGTTGTATTACGGTTTGATCTATCCTCGTCTATCTTATGGAATTATAGTATGGGAACATAGTGCTAAGACCCTCACTAGAAGAACTTTTGTACTCCAAGAAAGGGCAGTAAGATACACTGCAGGGCTAAAACATCTGGAATTGTGCACGGATAGCTTTAGAAATCTAAAGATACTAACAGTATACTTGCTATATATATACAAGAAACAATCCTATATGTAAAACAAAAAGTGTAACTGCACAGTGAATGAACAAATACATACATATAACACAAGAAATAATAAAAGACTATCATATATATGGGCACAACCTAGAACTTTATAACAGTAATCCTTCAGTAGCTGGCTGCATCTTTTACAACAAATTGCCTAACAACATAAAACAAACAGAAAACAAACATCAGTTCACAAGGGAATTGAAGACGCTACTTATTCAGAGGTGCTATTACTCAACGGAAGACTATTTGAACGATGAATTCTTGAATACTGGCTACTGATATAAGCAGAAGTATATAGTATATAATGCATAAAATGTTGTATATCCTATATAATTTTTAGTATTAAGATTGTTGTAATTTAATAATGTATGTTAGCTGAAAGACTTGTCCTATATCATTGTATCATGATCTACACGATTAATATTTATTTATTTCGTCTCTATAGATCATTGTTACATGATATAGGACAAGTCAGTTACTGTACATTGGCTGATTACAATAAGGGAATAAAGTTACAATACTTAAAATTGTTTACAGTAGATTACAATAGTTAAGATTTCACATAGCTTGGGGTGGAATCCATATTAAGTCCCCTCGGCACGTCGGCTTTCATATGTCCTATTGTAACTGTACTGGTGATAATGCTTATGGAGAATTTGATGGAATGAGGATTGGCAGGGGAAACCGAAGTACTCGGGGAAAACCTGCCCCAGCGCCACTTTGTCCATCACAAATCCCACCTGACTAGACCGCAGCGGTGGGAAGCCAGCGACTAACCGCTTAAGCTATGGCGCGGCCTTTGAGGTAATGTTAGTGAATTTGGTGATAGCATTGGTAAAACGTTTCACTGTAGACTCTACACTGCAACATCTCACCTTTTATTTGAGGACGCTGTTAGTAATTCAGACTATATAGTGAACAGTGAATTGGACAATAGAGGAAGCTTCCGTGATCCAATTTAAGGTGCCTTCCTGGTATTTGCGTGGAAGGAACGAAATTGAGAGGGCTTACGCCATCCGACAGGTCACTTTCAAAATACAAGCTGCAACCAATGTCCAACTAACCTTATTGTTATCTTCCTCCATAAAAAATTGCACAGCTGTGCTTCGCCGAGAGTCCATATCTAAATGAGCCACTTTATCGCCCCTTACAATTAGATAATTTCATATCAGAAAATTCATCTTATGTGTTTATTAATACTATTAATCATTTTCACAAGCTCATAACGCTCATACCGTACACTTCCACAAACATCAAATATTCACTTTAATCAGAAACAAACAGCGATTATAAGCATTTATAACATTTATCGAACCACTTCAAGCGCTCTACACTCTTTTGCCTCGTTATGGTACATCCGTTACGGCCGTTACCATGATGCTTCATTCCATGGATCATACATCAATCTGCCGACCACCAATCAAGTACGCTATTCCTGTTCATGAGGTTCATGAGTCCGTTGTCAGTTATCCGTGGTTGTGAGAATTCGCTGGTTAACTTCTGAAAGCTTTCGATGCTTTGGATCACCTTGCATGACGTATTTCAAGCTAATCCAGACTGTTTCTTTTTCCAAAAATTCCTGATAAGGTCTCCTTAGTTTTTAATGATCACATGTTCAATTTCCATTATTTTTCGGGCTATAAATGCATCCATTCCTCATGGCTGCATATCCATATAAACTATTATGCATATAACTATATGCATATAAACTAAAGAAAATCACATTAGAAAACAATTCCATTGTGTTCTGTCAGGTATGTTAACAAAGCATGTTTCAATCATTCTATCCTTATTTCATCTTCTATTCCACAAAATGTGCAGATGGAACCATTAAGAACTGTGATTATTTTTCATTAATTCACGTCAAGTAATAACATAATTCACAATTTCTAGATAGGGTGGTTTCCAATGATAAAGACGTCGAACAAGTTATTTCCCTCTCTGACGAAAACAATCGTAAAACAATATTTTATGAATGTGGCCCAGACTTACGTAAACATTTCAGTCCCCTTGGTAGTTTAGTGGCTTATTTTAATTTTGTCTGCTTGGCGGTTCAAATGTATTATTGTTATCTAAGGTTTTAGTGCATTGGTGGTTTATAAGTGTGTGACTATCTCAGTCATGTAATTTCACATGGAAATTTATAATTGAAGTGTTTTGAAACAGTTATGTAATTAAAATGCATGAATCGCTGGCATCAGACTCATTAACAGCTATGGAAACTCCGGTAAATAGCGATATAGAAATGGACGATAAAAAGAAGGTAAAAGCTGTAAGAAATATTATTGTAATGGATCATCTTAGTAATACATAGTGGCAGTTACACAACTGTAGGCCAGTAAATTTGGTTATAATAACCTTACGGTTGTACCGAGGTGCTTAATCAGACACCCCACAAGATTTCATGATCATGCAATTGTTTACAAATTCAGAAGATTTATGCAGCTATTACCAGCATTTCGGCAGTTAAGCTGGTTGCTTGAGAGTTGAGACCAGTATATGTGTAGAAGGGTAATTGTGTCAATAGGGGTTTTGAACAAGAATACGTGTAATGACTACGGTAAATAATCAATTTTTAAAACTGCATTTTTATGAAAGGTTTGTTATAAACTGTGTCAGAAATTCACCTTTTATGTTCTACATCCTAGAGTACCACTTCTTCCAATCCTGGAACGCCTGGAAAGCAAAAGCTAAGTGGATGGCTGAATAAGACTTTCAAGATAGAAATGACAGATGGTCGAGTTCTTGTAGGAGTCTTTCTTTGTACTGATAGGGATGGAAATGTCATCCTTGGGTCTTGTAGTGAATACTTAAAACCAGAAGGTAAGAGGTCATTGAGACTTACATATGCTGCTCTTGATATGCAGGGCTATACAACTCCATATACACAATCAATCATGAAAATCATATCTCTTTTGTCTTATGTTTAATTGCATAAAGACTTACTTTTGTATGTCAAAGAAAAGTCTAGAGGAATGATGGGACAACAAGCTAAATGTTAATATTAGAGCTGCACTCTTCAGCAACATGGAAAACACAAACTTTCTGAGGCTTGAGGTCCTCGCAGTTTGGTAGATGGATGCCATGATTTCAGAGGTAGCTGCTGCCTTCATCCTCAGGTTACTCTGAAATATTTGTACCTATCTTTCATATTATATAGTGACACAACCCAGAAAACTGTGATCTTCACATAAACTTTGCCCTCATTCTTTAGTTCTTTCATTTCATACCGAATTCTATTAAAAAAGAAAGAATTATACAGAGTGCTTTGTGATACGTTGGCCAAACTTCAAGAGCATGTGATAAGGTTATTTGGACCAAAATATGTCCAGTAACCTATAGGTTGATTTGACACTGTTATCAAGTTAAGTGCTATTGGAGCAAGATAGAACTCTTGTAATTTGATGAAGTTCCTGCTTGGACAATGTCCAGGCTAGTGTGGATATGTTGTGTTGCAGCGTAGTTGTAGTTAAAATTCATAACACATTTACAAATGAATATGCTGACATGCATTTCATAGATGATTTCTCTAATGGAAATGATAGGGCCATCATTGTGAAATACTGGCAACAATATCCACTTTGAATTACACACTGCAAAACATTGGAGAATGTACATAAAACTTTCAGGAAGATTGGTCCATTTCCACGCGCTAATGCAGAATGTAAGCAAAGCTGACGTTTTGGCAGCAATGCAACAAAGCCCAAGTACAACAAATATGCATAGAATTTCCAGGGAAACTGGTGTAACCCAGACTCAGGTGTGGCAGATTTTGCACTGTGATGGTTTCTGTCTGTGTAACAGCTCTTACCAAGGGATCAGGCCAGTTGTGTATGATTTTGTGACTTGCTGCACACTCTACATGATCTATTCATGGATGAGGCTCAATTCACCCAGGATTGGATTACCAACACAAGGAATTCACACACTAGGGTGTGTTGTATCCCTATGATGGTGATGGGATACGAGAGGTAAGCCGAGTGGGAGACTGTTCCTCGTAGTACGTCGGACACTTAAGGATTGAAATCCAAGTCGAACTCGCAGTACGATACAGTGAATATATATATTTAATATAAATGATGTTGATACAAATGTTGTACAGAGATCAAGAATATTGCCTGAATAGAAGTTTATGAAGTCCCTATGACGGTGCACAGAAACTAAGTGCAGTGTATGAACTGAAATCTATGAAGTCCGATCCACGCCCCAAAACATGGTCTTTTAAAGAGGCTAGGATGGGCATTGGCTGGCAGTCACATGCTATGATTTCACGTGGAGTACATGCTCATAGCAGATGATCCCAAAGTTCCTTGTTCTCTGGTCGACAAACAAGTGTTGCATCATACGTATTTGTCTCAACCAGTTATCTTATTGTAATTATAACTTCCTGTCTGTACAGTCAGACAAAATCATATACATAATGTTTAAAGTAATATATATGTATGTTAAGGGGTGCATATATTACACCTCCCCCCTTAAGGAAAAATAAGCAGTAATAGTGCTTATTTTTGAGCAGAGTTACATTTCCTGTCCCTTTTGCAATCATGTGATACACATACACATACCTGCACGTAGCCTAAATCTAAGTTATGCAGAATTACAGTTATGATACCTTCAGACTTGCAAAGTTGCAGTCCCGTGCTTATACATTATTATTATATCGACATATAATTATCTTTTGCCAGAAATAATTCATGCTTAGGGTTAGGATTCAGAGTCACAAGTTCTGTCACCTCTTTGGTATCACAATGTGAATTTCTTGTCCTTACAGATGGTTTACTATTTTCGTATTTGAGGCTTTCTCTTGATGAGTGAACTGAGTTGACTATCTTAGGCTTAAAGATTATAGTTGTACAAGGGTTATTGTCCTTCCACCATCTTGATAGATTTGGGCAATTTTTACGACAGCACTTGCAACAGCAGCAATAACAGAGAACACACAAAGTTAGGCTTGTGGTGACCATCCCTATATATGACAGAAAAGAGAGGTGATAATCTGTGTTTGAATGTTTAATTTTCCACTCTTGTTCTGAGATTAACCTTTCAACGTCGTCTACCCTGTGACTTGCCACACGTAAATCGTCAAGGTGATTGACTATGTGTTTTAAAGGCAGGTCCAAATGAATATCGTTAAGGTTTACAATTTTACTTTCGGTTTGACAGCAGTCGACATCCAAGAACAGGTGAGGAATTATGTCCCTTTCTGTACTGTTTGTTTCTACCGTCATCTGGGCTTGAATGAGGACCTTGGTTCCATATGCCTTGCATAAGTTATTTAATTTAAGTTTACCTGTACCTACTATTTCGAGGTCCGTTGGTTCCTGTCCTGAGCAGAGTACAGTAAGAGTATCAGGTCGAGGGGCTACATACAGCCACTCGTTATTATCCAGTTGCGTCCAGATAGTCTGATTGATCTCCACGATTCTTCGGGAGCAGCTGGCTGGCACTACTCTAATGGGTTGCAGCATCTCTGCTTCGCAATCCTCATCTAAATGTGTGACTCGAATGGGATGTTTTTGTTTGCATATGCGATGGTAGCTGTCAATCTGTTTACAATCTTTAATTTCGTCTACCTTTAATTTCATGAAACCTTGCCTAACAGTATCCATCAACAGGTACTCACGTTCTGGTAAAATAAAAATAAATTTGTTGGTTGTATTTCTTATCTTAATAGGTAGTGGCAGAACGTGATAAATTTGGTAATTTACATGGTTAGATAAAGGTAGGCGAATTACATATACAAGAAAACTGTTCCTTAAAAATACATCAAAATCAATTATTCTTAACACTAAGCTTTGGTAAGCCACACTCAGGGGAATTGGTAATGAAAGTTCACTTGGAATGTCAGCTTGACTAGCCTTTAAATGATTTATAATCTGGCCAGGTGTTATAATATGGGGTTGAATTATCCCCCTTTGAGAATTGATAATTGCATCTATTAAAATTTCGTACTCTCTTCTACATTCATTGATTGCTCTCTCTAACTGCATGGAGTGATCATTTACCGTGAGCAACATGGAGGTAGCTGTGAACATTCTCTTTACTTCGCCGTCGTGTTTATTTATGTGTTCGGCCATTTTCTGTAATCCCTTAGCTAAAATTCTTTCATTTTCGGATACATCCATCAAGGTGGAATTCATGGACCTTAACGTTGACCTAACAACTGTTATCTGTTCCTTAGAAAGCTTTAGAAAATCAATCTGTTCTTCTTCTAATTTAGAAATTTTATCAGTATAATAAGAGGCATCTTCACTATCCATTGTACCAAAGAGTATTTTGCTGATTCCTCCTATAAAATTGAAAACTCCACGCCTTGCACGTGAATAATTAATTTTCTCTTCATTCCTAGTTAATTGCCTAACTAACATTTTCAAGTTTTCTACTTCCTTAATTTTTATTTCAATAAACTGAATGGATTTCCGGCAGTCAGTAAAGTTAACCCAGAAAGTAAATTCATGGTTTTTGCAAAAGTCAATGGACATTTTGGCGTACTTTTTAACAGCATCTAAATTCTTGTCGGCTTCGTCAAGGTTGACGTAAGTGATAATTTTCCATTCTGTATTCTACAGCTATGCTTCTCCTAATCGCTCGTAGTAAAGTCCTGGCAATTCGTTGTATCTTACTAGGGTCGCGTCGAGGGCGAGCACTTGCTTCAGATATATCAGTGTTAAGCAGACGGTCCAGAGTCTGTGGGTGGCGGTCATTGTCCTGTAATCAGTCAAAGAATGGTTTCAGTCTGTTTGCGTGGACCTTGAGTGTTCTGTTTCTTGGTAATTTTAACGTAACATTTACGTCCTCTACTTCCGTAACTTCGTACGGTCCTATCCAAGGGGGAGACAACTTTAATGATCTGCCTCTTCTGACCTTCTCATCATGTAGCAAGACCTTGTCTCCAACTGTAAATAATGGAACATTGACGTTCTTATCGTGATACTCCTTGCTGCGTTCTTTCTTTGCTATCAAATTATTTTTGGCTAAGTCGTAACTGGATTGTAATCGAGATTGTAATTCCTTGACGTAATTATCATATGTGTATAGAACTTCGGGAGGTTCCTTTTGCAATATGCCTGGTACGTTAGGCTTTCTCCCAAACAGAAGTTCGTGGGGGGTGAATCCTGTAGCAGTATGTGGTGTAGTGTTAAATACAAAAGTGGCATATGAGATCCACTGATCCCAGTTCGTTTGATCTTCTAAAATGAAACAACGGAGATATTCCACTAATACTCTATGTGTGCATTCCAGGGCTCCATTAGACTGGGGATGATACGCTGTGGTTTTTAATTTCTTAATTTTCAATAGTTTGCAAATATTAGCAAAAAGTTCGCTAAGAAAATTGGAACCTTGATCCGTAAGGATTGTCTGTGGTATTCCAAATTTCAACACAATTTCTTCCACAAAGGCTTTGGCAACAGTTTCAGCGTCTTGCTGTTGGATAGGAATGGCTATCGTGTACTTTGATAGTTCGTCTTGAAATGTCAACAGATATTTATTTCCTTCTAATGTTAGAGTTAAGGGACCAACAATATCCAAAGAACATTTTTCCCAAACCACATCCGGAGTTGTTGTGATCTGCAATGGCATTTTTGTCTTGTTTTGCGTAATTTTGTTCCTTTGGCAAATTTCACACCGTCTAATATAATCTTCTAACTCTTGTTTCATTCCTGGCCATGAAGTAAAAAGTTTTATTCTATCGTATGTCCTATTCATTCCTAGGTGTCCTCCAGTAGGCTTCTCATGCATTTCCTGAAAAATTTTTTGTTTCTTATCTTGAGTTATCTCTACCTTTTGTTCCTTGTCATCAGGGGAAATTTCAGCTACTTGAA